GGGGGTTTTGGGGGGATGGGGGGGGGAGGGGGGCATCTCCAGGCAGCCCTGCACCCCCCCTCCTGCAGACCCCACAGTTTGGGAGGAAAAGGTGGGAGTTTGGGGGGGGATGTGAAGCCTCCCCCCATCCCATTCCGGTCCTAGACCGCTTCGGCAACCTCCGTGTTATCAACATTATTCTCCTCCCAACCCCAAAAAACACGACATCCGGGAGGAAAATTAACCCCATCCCAGCCAAAACTGGGGTGGGATTGGGGCGGGGAGGGGAGGGGGTGTCCCCAACCTGGCAGCACCCAGAGGTTTCTCCATCCCTTTGCACCCCAAAAGCCGAGAAGGATCAACCCATCTCCCCTTTATAGAATTTTATCGATTTTATCGATATCAAAATATGGTGATCCAGGCTCAGAGTCCAGTGGTGGCTACTGGTGGCCCCCGGGGTGTCACTACTGGGCCCAGTCTCACTCAACATCTCCATCAAGGACCTGAGTGAGGGGACAGAGTGTCCCCTGGGCATGTTGGGTGGTGACCCGGGGCTGGGAGGAGCGGGGGACACAGCAGGAGACTGTGACACCACCCTAGAGAGGAACCTCATGGGGTTCAACCTCAGGAGGAGCAACCCCACGGACCAGTAGAGCTCCCAGTTGGAACTGGGAGACCAGAGAGCGAACTGGGAGTCCTGGTGGACACTGCCAGCATGAGCCAGCCATGGTGCCACCAATGTGCCCTGGTGGCCAAGAAGACCAATGGTCTCCTGGGGGGCATCAAGAAGAGCATGGAGAACCTTGAGGGAGGTCACCTTCCCCCACCCCTGTGCCCTGGGGAGGCCCCAGTTGGAGAACTGGGACCAGTTCTGGGCCCCCCAGTTCAAGAGGGACAGGGAATTGCTGGAGAGAGTCCAGTGGAGGCCATGGAGATGATCAAGGGACTGGAGGATCTCTCTGATGAGGGACCTGGAGCTCTTCAGTTTTCACTAAGATGGAACCTCATCACCCAACTGCTGGATTTGATGATCTTCAAGGTCTCTCCCAACCATAAGGATCCCACGATTCCATGGACCCCATAAAACCCATTTTTGGGGGTGTCACCCCCTCTCCTCCGTGTTCCGGTTTTGAGGGGCTGGTGGGTCCCCTCCCGGCTCCAGCCATGGGGGTTGGGGGGATGGTATCAAACCCTGGGGTGGGGAAAGAAAACAGGGGGCGAACTGAAAATGGGGGGGCAACCCATGGAGCTGGACCCCCCCCTCATCCTTACCCCGGGTTTAGGGGCCACCCTGGCACCCCAAAACAGTGGTGTGAGGTGGGGGGGACACTGGGTG